CCTCTGAACCTAGGAAGGATGCATTTGAATGAGGAAAGCGTGTCAAAGCACAAGATAGAAGTTAGATCTCTGGCACCGGATAATTAGCCAATCAGCCAACGCCAAGGAAGCACTCCAGAGGAAGCCGAAAGTGAACTTACAACAAATATTAGCGACCCAGACAGAAAATCAATGCCGTCAAATCTCCTAGTCTCTGGATGCTGAGGGAGGTGAGGTGGCTGTAGAGGAAGAGTTTAAGGCAAGGTTTATCTCTGACATAAACATAGAAACTAAACTAGCACATAAAGTTATCAAGGCCGCAGCATATCACCCAGTAGTTCTAGCTTAGGGTCATGGAGGAGAGTGGCTGTCTATAACGACAGACGACCTTATAGACGAAAAGGCTTCATTTCAGAAGATAGTGTCCTGGAGGCCCTCCATAGCTGCAGAGCAGAAGCCAGGCGTGGTTTCAGGGACAAACGCAGCTGGTGACTTCTTGCTATTTCTCTGTTCTGAACATCCTAAGACCCTTAAGGATACTAATTCTACCCTGTTTGTGCTCCATGAATGGAACATGAACGCTTAGCTGACAGCGCATCTGTTTTCAACATGGTTTACTGGATATTCTGAGCCCACTGTTGAGACTGCCCAGAAGGAAGGAGGGGGGAAAAGATCCCTCTCATCTGGTGGGCCAGGAGCTTTCTCTGAGACGGACAGTGAGACAATGAGATTACAGTTGTTTTCTGCACACAAACCTAACAGCTGTTCGGCAGCCTATGGTTCGAGGAGGATGTTTGACTTTTAAGTCTTATCTAATAAACTCATTTTCTAATGCTACACCTACCACACATAACGATTTCTTCTGGTGAGTAAAGGCAAGGCAGATTGGAAAACATTCTAGAAAAGACTTGCCATTCTGGATTTATTTTTAAAACACTTGCAATTCGTAGGAGGAGCTCAAAAATATCAGCACTAAGAGGAGTTTGAGGACGCTGATTCCTACCACTATGTTTGACTTTGAGAGGTTCCAGTCTTTGGGGGTAACAACTGAAAATGTAATGCAGACAGAAAAAAGAATTTTTACAATCTCAAGCAACAAATGCATTGCTGCTTATGGATAAACGAAGAAATTCGTTTCACGATCTGTTGGTAAAGGTGTTTGGTCATTGTTGAAGTAAAATCAAAGCACCTGCCCAGGGGTTATACCACCTACAGTGGGCTGGGCCCTTCCAAATCAAACAGTCATCAAAAAGTTGCCCCACGGATGTGCCCAATCCAATGGAGGCAATTCTTCCACTGAGGCCCCTCTTCCAAGGTGGCTCTAGCTCATGTCAGGCTGACAAAAGTGTATCAGCATAGCTATGCATGAACTGGGCACATTTGGAGACAACAATGCAAGATTGCCGTGTCCAAAGGTTAGGCACCCCTGGACACATAGCCCTGATAAGAAGTTTAGAAGACAGAACTGATGCTAAGTGAATGGTCTCCTTGTTGGAATTCTGATTCTTTTAAATTGCCTTTATTGTCCTAAAAACTGTGGCTTTATTCCCTGATTTGGAAATTAATTATATCTAGCTTCCTGCAGGCTTTTAAAGAATGCCTTGAAAACAAGAGCCAGGAGCAAGGTGGGGGTGCGTATTTCTTCCCATATCTCCTGGTGCTAACTGGCAACTCCTCCAAACTTAGGCTCCTAAGAAACCTATCCACCCTACCCCCACTCATAATGCCACAATTTAAATTATGGGGGGGAAGAAAACTTAGAAACACTGAAATGCCACTTACTTATGTGACTTTGCCTACTAGAAGATTAAGTACATTCCATACATAGATCCAAGGACTTAAGTTAAAGTTGTAGGATGAGGAAAATTTTCACAAGGCTCATTATTATCAATATATTGTGCCCTATGTCTTGAACCTAGTACCAGCATATGGATATTCCAGCTTTGGCTGTCTAGACTAACTAATTCAGTAACTCACTCATAAAGGCTCCTTTTGTGGGCATCGCCTGTGCTCTGAATGTCTCCTGCTACCACTTACCAAAGATTGCTTATAGTGTACCCTGTCCTGTCAGATTTAGCTGCCTTTCTTCCCTAACTGAAGTGAAAGTTCTGCAGAGAGGCAGCTCTGCTTTCTAGTAGATTCCAAGCACCTAAAATAGGCTCTAGCCACATGGACTATAAGAACAAACTCACCTAGCTCACGATGCCAACAGCTACTTCAGGCTGGGTCACATAGGAAGCTATGACCAACAACAATATTATCTTGTCCTTCCTTCTCTGAAATGTAGAAGATGCAGTAATAAGACAAGCACCTCCCATCTCCTGAATTGAGCAGAGCTTTCATATCGACTTGTCATTCACTTACCCACACCAGGGCTTTACCTCCAATACTGAGAAATGAAAGAGGGATCGAATTTAAGGACACTAAGATTCTTACACTTGGCCCAAAATTGCTTTAATTGTTAACGATATTAGAATTTTAGTTTCTGAGTCCATGAATCCAGTCTTTAACCATTTTCTTTCTGAACAACATATTCGAGTTTGACTTAAATGGAGCATTTGGTAACGTAAGATGTGTCAGTGGCACCATCAGAAATGTCACTTGTAGTGAGATATGCTAGGCTGGTAGAGAATCCTCATCACAGTGCGTCCCTTTCTGTCTGTCCTGAGAAGCCCCTTCACATAGGAAAAATGAAAGCCTCTGGTCCTTATCACGTTCCTTCAGACCCTTTCTCCCAAACTCTCCGAGATTCTGTAGAGTTCACTGCCTCTCCCCAACACCTGCTTTGCCTTTTCAGGTCTTGTTTCTTTCCACATCACCCTATTCGGAGCGATATTGAAGGGCTTACCTGCTGCTTTATTCGGTTTGGATATACTGTTTCTTGTCCCTCAGTTCATGTGTAGTGACAGCTTGGCCATAGCTGCCTTGCCACATCATAGACATGGCCAACTGGAAACTCTCCAGTGCCAGAACAGCATAGGTGCTCCGGGAAGATTACTGAGGCTCCAAGGATTTTTCCTTCTGCTTAGCCGTGCATGTAGTTTAAAATCATTTTGGCATGAAAAAAAAAGTCATTGGTTTGTTTCACATTCAAGGGAAACTCGGAACCTCAGAGATTCTGGTTATTTCTCAGCATCTGATTGGCAAAGAATCAAAGTAATACACAGAAATGTCTAGTGGGACTATTGGGGACATCGCATAGCAAAAGAGGGCCACAGTACCACTTAACCCTACTAAAGTGATGCACTTATCAAAGCCAGACCATTTCATATTGTTGCAATTTTATTACTTGAAATATAATGTGCATAGTGATGACATACCACATTATCCCACAATAGTAGCTTGCATTTATAATCTAAATATTCCATTGTTTGCTTAGGACAGCCAGTGTCTCTCCCTTTAATTACTTTGTGACCAATATATACACTGATGTATATAAACTCAACTCCACATTTAGACCTACAGCAGAAAGGAACAAAACTGGGAAGCTGCTATTCTCGTGGAGCTTGCATGATACTGTGGCATTGTAGGCAGATGTGGTATTAAAGGAACAGCGTTGTCTGTTGAGCAGACAGAGGCAATGGGTAGAGAAGGGAAGCAGAAAGGAAGAGACCATGAGGGAGGACTTAGGGATGAGAGGTGGCAATGGATGGTCTTCTCCTTGGTGAGACCAATCAGAGAAAGTGGCATTTGAGCTGAGACCTGAGCGCAGTGAGGGTGACAGCTGTAGAGAGTCTGGGTGGAGTACTCTGGGGAAGGAAACCCACAGAGGCAAAGAGTCTCAGATGCACACACACTCAGTGTGCTCAAACCACACCTAACTACGCAGAAACGAACATGGGAAAGAAAGAGTGGTGTCTCCAAGGAGCCAGGGCCTCCTAGGACATTATGAACACTTTAGAAGTTATGTCAAGTATGATACCGGGAGGGGTGCAGCTTGAACTGCCATTTCTAAAGGAGTGACAGAGAAAATGAGGATGAGATGTTAATAAATGCTGTCATGTCGTGGAGGGAGCATGCGTTGTGTGCTAAGCCCTGTGTCTGCATTATCTCCTTTAACCTTGACAGTAATTACTGTGGTTGTCCCTGGAGGACAGATGAGGTAATGATTAGGCATTTGGTCACGAATAATCTCTCCATAGTCACACACAAAGATAGGAAGTGGCAGACCCAAGTTTTATACAATGCTGATATTGTAAATCCTTTAATAGCTGTCATGGAGTACTCAATAGAGATCGTTCGTTATGATTGACTTTTTGTTCCTTCATTTAAAGTCATCTCAGGTCTCCCATGGATGATATGATTACACTGTGGTCTACTTATTTTCTGGGCAATTTAAAAGTATGAGTGTTACTTTCATACATAATGATATTATCTTCAAAGTGGAAAATTTTGTAAAGTACTCAGAATGAAGTCGTATTAAATAACTCCAGAGCACAGTCTCTTCATCTGTAAATTCAGAAATCATATCTTGGTGCCGTCAACTTCCATAGTGACCTTATGTATTTCCTTGCCAATGCATTTACAAAATGTTGATCTGAGCCCAACATCCATAGGTTTTCCCCAGACTGACAATGAACTTGTCAACAGGAGGAAGACTGCACAAGGATCCTTGTGCTTGCCCTTGAATCCCAGCAGAGCTGCTGCACACATTATCGTATCATGTTTGGGGATGAGAGAAAACAGCATGGGCATATGGTAAGGGTCATGGGGAGGCCAACTATAGCTCCAGCAACCACATCTATCAGAACATTTCCAACTGGTGTATTTTTCCAGGTATAATTATTATCATTTCCTCTCACTCTTAAGGGTGTTCCAGACAAAATAGAGGCATTTGACTGTGGCTAGCTCTAGCCATGCTCAAGAAGGCGATGTCTCTGAGTATGATCTCCAGGCGTGTGACTCGAATGCACTCTTGAGTTCCTGTAATAAAAAATGGGCGTGATCACAGCTATATGATTATACAAGGGATAGATATTATGTAAGAAAATAGTTTAACTGTGATTGTTTCTCTTCCACAGCCAAAAAAGAGCATAAAATGGAAGAAAGCCACTTGGAGAATGCGCAGAAAAGGTAAGTGGCTCTGATGTGGACTCAGTTCTTTCTCACTAGACATCCTTTACTTTCATTTTTGTAAGGAATATTCCCAATGCTGCGCAGCCATCTTCTCTAGACTTCCATCTAAAACTCTGCGACCATGAAGCACTAACTCCTCATCCTATTCCTTCCTTCCCAAGGCCTGGGCAGCATCGCTCTGCTTCCTCCCTCCTTGTAGAGTCTTGTGCCATTGGACCATTTATGACTAACTGATCTCACCTACTTTGTGTTGAACAGTCAGCCCTTTGATCCTGTCTGTTGAGACCTCTATGAACAGTAAGCTGGAAGTGATACCCCTCCTATCACATAGGTCATAATCCTGCTTCATCTGCTTGCCCCTCCTTCCTGCTCTGGTCCTCATTGAAGTTAGGAAGAGAGTTGACTTTCTTTCTACATCATAACTAGATTAGACCACTTCAATAAATAGCTTGGAGATTGACTTCAGTTTCTTTCTCAGATAGGAGAGGGTTTTATAGACAAGGGATGGGTAGAAAATGGTATTACCTTCTGTGCACAAAAACTCCCTCAGAAGTCAGAAAAGACCCTAGGGTTCTTCGAGCCTAGCCCCCCTTTCTGACTCCTGCTTCTCTAAGTAGACCCCAGAGGGCAGCCATCACATCACCTAGTGAAACCCAGAATCCATCTGTTCCAGTCCCTGGGGGAGGGTTCTCTTTGTTAGTTCACCAGTCGTCCCTCGGTAGTACCTCCCTTCTAGAAGGGAGGATATGGAGTCCTTCAGGAGAGAGGACTGGCATACATTTGACAGTTAAATATTCTGAAAGTTCTAGATAATTAAATAAGGTAGTAGGGGAAGGAAGTAGCATCTAAGGAAATAAAAATAACTTTACAAAATAGATGAGAAGAAATTCGTAGTTGTGAATGTAAGCATGCATAAACTAGGGATGAGTCCTTTTCCTTAACTCTAGCCACAGTTTTGAAAACCCAGAGACAGGTGCCAGCATTTAGTCCTGCTTCCTGCTGTAATCTGCCAACAAAATTCAGATGCCGATGAAAGCAAAATGAAGGGCAGTCTTGTAGTTTTCTAAGTGTAGACATGTTCTTGACTCATGAGCATCATCCTATCATGATAATTGCTGAAAACTAAGACAATTGCACGGTTGTGCTTTTAGATTTTTGGCTCTCCTCGATTGGACTGATCCCTACATTACGCTTTCTTTCCTTGTTGTGTAAAATTAGTGTCAGAGACCTTCAGAGAGAAGGCTATCAACAAGGGCAGGCTGGTAGCAGGCCAGGCAGCAGTTCGGCTTCCGGGGTGCACGTCAAGTTTCTAATCCCTTTTCAAGACTTTTGCTGAAGGGCAAGGGGCCCACCTTCGAGAGGCCTGGGCTGCTGTGTATTAGGCATGCTGAGAGGAGCCATAACTTCTGGCTGTCAGCATTTTCTGTGACTTTGCGGCGAAGGTAGTGTAGCTTTCATGTCATCCTTGAAATATGTTAGATCTCATCTTTAATGTGGAAACCACGGTTGTTTGCTTGCACTCTTTAAGGAGGCTGTGGTCAGTGTTGCAATATTCGTGTGAGCCTTAGTAAATTCTTAGGCTTTATTCTCAAGAGAAACAATTTACTCTGAGGCCAAGGGATATTTGCTTTTCCTAAGCAGTTTCTGAAGGCACGCATGAGAAAACAGCAAGGGGATGTGTTCCGCTCTGGCATTGCCACACTAAGTGTAGAGCGGTTTCCATAGCTCTGGGTTCTTTGATAGAATCATCATCTGTACTTAAGAAAGAGAAAAAAAGGTTTGACCAGATTAAAAGAATGTGGACTAGACAAGGAAGTGTAATAGGAGAGAATCAGGGACAGGCATAAAGTGAGATGAAATGCGTTGATATAAAACAAAACATATGATTGGAAATTTTCTTTTTCTTTCTTTTTCAAGTGCAATGCTATTTGGCAGTTGTGTGGTGAGAATTGGACATTTCAAAAAGCACGGCATCCTTTGTCAGATGTCTGTTGGAGAAAATTGCCCCGGCAATTAAATATCAATGATTTTCTTGCTTAAATTTCAAGTTTTTGGTACAGTGTTCTGTGAACCAAAACTGAATTTTCGTTTCGACCATTTTGACTGGGAAGGACATTAGTCTGGACATTCTCAGACAGTAGAGGGTTCAGAGTGTAGCTCTGAACTTTTTCTTAAGTAGAAGGGGAGCGCTGCAGTCCAATGAGGTGTCCCCTTGGGGCGACAGTGCCTGTCAGCATCACAGGGCTTTCATCAAAGCATGCCCAGGACTCCACATGGTTCTTCTGAGCAGAGTCACTTGCTGTCTACTTTCCCCAGAACACGTAGGGAAAACGTGCTGAAATGCAGCAACCCCTCTGGCAGAGGAGAGCAGGGCATCCCACTCTCCTCATCCCACACACACACCACCACCGCACACACGCATGCATGCATGCAGAGAGAGGCTGTGGGGACAGAGTTGGAAAGAGAGAACCTGCCCCCAGCCCACTAGCATGTTTGGAGTAGACGTCAGAAGCACTGTCACTTCTGACTCTGCACTTGGGGACTCAGATAATGTGGAGGTGTTGTAGCGATGGCAGAATCGTGGCAGGTGGTCATGCGTGTCCATCACCGCATCCTGCTGTGGAACAGGAAGCTAATGAGTTCCTCTGAATACAAGGTGAACTGTTTCCTCTCCTGTGTCAGTGTATGTACATATCTGTGTCTAGACAGAAAGTGGATATAAGGAAAGAGGAAAAATGATGGCACACCCTCCTGGGGTGTCACGTGGGTCTGAAGAACAAAGAAGAGGAAGTGACTGTCTTGTTTGGTAGTTGACTGCATCAGGGCCCATGAGCAACCAAAGGTGAGGGCAAGACTCGCATCTCAAAGGGAGTTGGGAACCTAAATAGAGACCCAGCTCTGCCAGTGGATGAGGTCATTCAGTCTTCCCAGACCTCCGTTGTCTCTCTGAAGGATGAGACTATCGGAAATGTTAACCTGCCCAGCCTCTCTAGTTCTAAACCCAATAGCTCAGTAGGAAATCCACAGCCTGCCTCTACTGGTTGTATAATTCTCTACATACCCTCATATTCCAATGTAAATTCCATGTTGAATGAAGTAAAGGTATATGATGTACGGCACCCATCTGGTTTTATCAGTATTTTGACAGCTGTAGATATAGGTGTTATGTCTGGGGCAAGAGTCAACTTCGCTACTTTCTTTGATTACCAGTTTTGCTGCAAAATATGTGTGTTTGGAATTATCGGAGAGTCCCTTCAGAGATTACTGCCATCGTTGCCTTTCTCCACTTACACACTTCTAGCTTTTTAATAACTAGGGGCCAAATTCCCTGGCCAGTAGTTTTAATTTGCATTAAAAACAGATTTGTTATTTACAGAAGCACATAGAATTTATGAGGATTGGAGCAGCAGCTCCAACTTGGATCTCACCTAATCGTAGCCATGGAATCAATTAACAGTTCATCTGTGAAATGTGATAAAATCTTATGAGATACATATTGCCCAATAACGGAGAAGGAGATGAAAGTATGCTCCGTAATAGTCGCAGGGCTTCGGGGTTTTATAGTCGCCACCGAATAGAGTCCCATTAGAAACTCAGTATTCAGGATGGCCACAAAAAAAAAAAAAAAAAAAAAAAAAACCACCATGCCCGAACAGATGATAGAGCATTGAGTAATAAACCTGGCTGGCCAGTCCTGCTTTGATTAGTTTCCAACACCCTTGAAAGGGTGCTGTTTAAGAGTTCTCGCTCTTGGCAAATGAGCCTGTGAAGCTTGGGGTGGGTGAGGGCAAGGGGTGGGGGGGGGAGACTGAGTTGAGAGCTATAAATTGCTGCAAAGCTAGGGCCTCCATGGAGGGCTGCTTGGGAGGCCCAGTTAGGCTAGTGGGCAGGGTGCCTTCACGGGGCAGGGCACAGCATTATCTAAGAGTCTACCTTAGAAAAACCAGAACACCTTTCTAGCCTGACTGGAGACTTTTTTTTAAAAAAAATCTAACCCTTGCTAGACTCACAATTATGTCTCGTTTTGTATGTTGACGGTTTATATTCTTGTATCATGGTCAGGGTTTGAAATGAAGCCCTTTGAAAGGCCATATGGCGTAAATTTCTTAATTCTACCCTTGAGAAAATGAGAGTGAGAGGCCAAGAGATGGAGCCAAGACCCAGAGCATGCCAGAGGACAGAGAGGACAGAAGCGTCCCAGTTTTCCAGGTTTCCAATTAGCCATCTTACTGACTGTTACTGGAGAAGTCAATATGTCCTAGTCTGACATGTAGTCATTAAGCAGAGTGAAGAGCAGAAAATTGACGTGAACTTCAGATGAGGAACAGAGTTAAGTTATGTAACCCCCGGAACTGTGCTGGTCCTCAGGTCACACAGATAAGACGTACTTAGTAGTTTTCCCAGTCATGGTGACTACGGGCAGATCTACATAGGCTTCCTGGGGCTTGGGGTACTCTCCTCCTGTCTTCGGGAATGATCATGTGGGAAACTTCCCAGTGTCCCTTCTCATCAGCGTGATGGGTTTTGGCGTTGACAGTTCCTGACCCCCTCCATGTTCTCCCCTACCTTCTGCAGTTTTGAAGCAACAGTGGACTATTTTGGAATGAAGCCAAAGACTGGAGAGAAGGAGATCACCCCCAGCTATGTGTTTATGGTGTGGTTTGAGTTCTGCAGCGACTTCAAGACCATTTGGAAACGCGAGAGTAAGAACATATCGAAAGAAAGGTAAGGTCGGGTGAGGTGTGAATGCCCCCTGAGTAGTCCACCTTTCCAAGCCTTCTAAAGCATGCCTGTTTCACATGTGTCAGTGTTCTTTCTTTTGCATCAAGTCGACATCCAAGAAGGATTCTTGCCTCGGGGTTCCCAGAGAAATCCAGGGAAAGCTTGCTGCCCCCACTGGGCAAGATACACTCACATGATCTGATAAGCTCCATTCTCTTAACCCCTTCCAATTACTAGCGAGTAAATGAAAGGCAAGTTGTGCTAATGTGCAACAGATTGCTTCTCTGTGTATTTTCACGTTGGCCCAAGCTAAATGAGGCAGCTTTGCTGTGGCAGACAGTACAGACAAATAAAAGTGAATGCTTTTCCCGTTAATATACTGCATTTGCATCAAAGGGAAATCTCCCCAGCTCAGGCCACACTTCACACAGTGTTGAAGCCCCACGCTGGATTTACAGCGTCACTTCTGACTCCCCGTATCCTGCTGAGGACATCAAACTGTGTGCCGCTAGGCCTCCTTGCAGTCTCTTGATTTTATTAGTTGGGAGTAAAAGAGAAAAAAAATCAGCTCTGAACATAGGCACTGTGTGTGTTTGCTGGGGGGTGGGAGAGAGAGAGAGAGAGAGAGAGAGAGAGAGAGAGAGAGAGAGAGAG